TTTTCATTGCTGTATAGTTTCTACCTAGTTGGCCACGCCCTGATGATGGACAAAGACATAGTTCCCAATATTTCAAACGACAGGTGTATTGTGAAAAAGACCTGGAATGTTGCAGGGTTCTACACTGGTGAGTCATTGTTCAAGAGGGGTTCAGATGAGACTTCTCTGATGATGAAAAGGGACTAAAATTGAGGTGGTGGGTCACAGTCTATGCCAGCAGTTAAGAGGGAGCCCTGGTTTGTGTGTAGTTGTGCTGAAGTTGAGCCCATTCCCCCTCTCTGAGCCTCAATTTCCCTTTCTTTAGAACAAAAGCATCGTGATGCCAGTGGTTCTCAACTCTGGCTGCTCATCTGAGACACCTAGGGAACTCTAAATAAACTAAAAATAATCAACACACACACACACACATACACACACACACACACACACACACACACACACCACATAACCAGTGTCTGGGCCCCAATTCTTGTTCAACTGTTCTAGGATAGGGCTCTTTCATCAGGAAGTTTTGACAGCACCCCAGGCAATTATAACATGCAGCAAAGTTAAACAACCTCTGTTCTCATGTCCACAAAAAATTCCTGGACCTGTTTAGGTGGAGTGTGCACTCAGGTGTAAGGCAGGATGGTTTTCCAGGATGGTGCGGGGCAGCTGGGATACAAGTGGCTTAGCCCCACCTGTGGGTGTAGCAAGCCCAGAAGACAGCAGCAGAGGGCTGGCAGGGCTGTTGAGGCCTAACTCCAAGGTGGGTGCTGCTGTCTCAGTCAGTCATAATTTAGGCAACAGTTGGCCCATGGGCTTCCAGGTGGAGGTGGCAGGTCCCAGTCAGGCCCTCTGGGCCAAGCTGCAGGGAATCTAGGGCGAGCAGCTGTCCCCAGGAAAGAAGTCAGCCTCTAGGCAACTGCAGTGGCTACCAGGGAGGGGGTTTCCCCAACAAAGGTGGCATAAACCCAATCTTTATTCCCAGTGTCCTTCTGTTTACTTGTATAGATATTTTTACCAAACAGAGGTCAATCAGAATTAGGACTACCTCGTGCTTTAATCTGTAAAGCCAGATGTCTGTCTTGAGTTTTCTCTCAAAGTAAGCATTCTAAAGTCCTGTCAACACGGAGTTAGACGCACAGCTCAGACACTGGGACTCTTGAAGCCACAGTCAGCTGAAGGTGCTTATCCAACTTCGTGTCTTGGGCTCCTGACCTAAGGGTCATTCACCTCTGGACTTGGACACAATTAGTCCCCAGCAGACAGAATATGTAGAAAGAACGTTCTCTCAGGATCCAAAGCAAGGTCTTGGGACAAGTGGCCAAGATGGAAGAACAATCTCATCCGGTTTTGTTGCTGACCCACAGCAAGGTTTGTCCTCAGAGGATGCTGGTCTAGAGAGAACTGCAAACTCTCCACTCTGTGAGGCCAGTTCAGACAGCACGTTATAGGAAATGGGCCTCCTTTCCGCTCTGCCACCTTCCTCTTCATCACTAACACGTAAGGACACAGGTCCAAACAAAGGACAGGTGGGAGCAAATAACCAAGGATGCAGCTGCAGATGGGGACATCAACCAAATGTAAATAGCTGGATTTGACAAGTAAGCAAAACAGTCAAGGAGTTCAGTACAGAGAGGGGAGTTGAGGCCCAGCATAGATTTGCTTGTGGATGTGCAGCTCAGGGGCCCTTGGTGGGCTCCACTCCTGAAGAAGAGCCAGGGTCCAAGCGATAAACAGGTCAGGCTGGGTCCAAGTCACAGCACCAAGTCGAAACTAAAGCCAAACCCAAGACATAACCAGCCAAGGCTCTTTATTTACAAAGTGTAGTCATTTTTGTTTCAGTAGGAGGCCAAAGGTGTCTGAAAGGAAAGTCAGTTTACAGGGGGGAAAAAAAGGAAGTACAGAGAGAGCCTCTGATTGGCACGTGTTCTATTAGGATGGCATTTTTGAAGGTGGGGAAGACCTTGGTGGGCTTTTGAGAATGTTTGGCAGTCCTCCATTGGTTCACTATATATGGCACGACTGGGAATTTTCAGGTTTTGCTGGTTTTTAGGAAGACTGGTTAAGAGATTTATTAACTGTGGAGGAGAGGATGGGATGGGGAGAATTTGGGCCAAACAGAGGCCAAACAGGGCCCCCTTCCTTTGGCCAACAGTGCGTGATTCTCAGTCCCAAGAGTGGGATTCTGGGGACACAGTTTCCTATTGTGCAAAGCCACTATACTGGGACTATGTAGCAGTTACAAAGATGAATGGAACATAGACTACAGCCTTTCCAGGAGAGGACTCAGCTCCAGTTGGCCAATTTTGGATCCCCTGACATGGTGAAGTGATGTGGTGAAGCCGTAAGCAAACTGTCGGAGAGGGCAGGGATGGTTAAGGCACTCTGAGTAGAACTGGATTCGGTTCACCAGGGCCCTGAAGGAGTGACTCTGTGTTTTATTTATTCATTCATACAGCAAAGCACGAGCACTCACTGATGTCAGCTGCTGTGTAGGTGCTGGGACGCCGCAGTGAACCACATGGTCCTTGCCCTCCTGGGGCTTATAGTCAGACAGTCAGGATAGACTTTAAGCAAGAATCACAAGCTCACGTATTGGAGGACACGCACAGAGGGCCAGGGGAGCAGGAGGTGGGAGCCTTACCTTGACTGGGCCAGAGAAGGCCCATTGGAGAGAGAAATATTTCAACTGAGATGCGGAAAGGGGACTTGTGTGGCCTGAGAGTTCCAGAGAGAGGGAACAGAGTGTGTTAAGGCTCCAAGGGGACAAACAAAGATTACCTGTTCAAGGATGTGAAGGAGACCAGTGAGCTTGGGGTAAGAGGAGACAGGACAAGTGGGGCTTGGGCTGCAGGGGGGAAGGGAACACAGGGCCTGGTAAGCCATGCTGAGATGCGTGGATTTGGTACAAAAGGCAGTGGGAAGCTGTTGAAGAGTTTTATAGAAAGATTTGACATCAGTTTGGCCTTTCCCAAGATCATTCAGGTTACTGTGTAGAATTTCAAACAATTGGAACAAGCAAGGGTAGACACAGGGCAGCTGATACAGCCATTCAGGGGAGCAGTGAGGGCAGCCTGCCCCTGAACCCCCACCTTCAGGGGCAGTGGAGATGGAGAATGGTGAGTGGTTTTACAAGGAGATTTAGGATATAAAATCCTTGGGGCTCAGCAGTTGGTGATTCACTGGGGCTAAGAGGAGGGCGTTTTCAAGAACCCTTCCTGGATCTGTCTGCAGCCATTATTACCATCCTCGGTTACACCACTGTTGCCCCTTCCTATGAGGATGCAAATGTGTGAAGGAAGGTCACATACTCAGTCCTTTACTCCGTGAGCTTGAGGTGCCTGTGAAACTTCAAAGTGGAGACTGAGTCAACGAATGAGTTTATGGGGTTTGAGGCTTAGAAGAGAGGTCTGGCTGGAAATAGCAATGTGGGAGTGATTGATACGTAGATTTTTTTTTTTTTTTTTTTGAGACAGAGTCTTACTTTGTCACCCTTGGTAGAGTGCTGTGGTATTACAGCTCACAGCAACCTCCAACTCCTGGGCTTCAGCGATTCTCTTGCCTCAGCCTCCTGAGTAGCTGGGACTACAGGCGCCGGCCAGAATGCCAGGCTATTTTTTGGTTGCAGTTTGGCCAGGGCCAGGTTCGAACCTGCCACCCTTGGCATATGAGGCCAGCACCCTACTCAGTGAGCCACAGGTGCCACCTGACACGTAGATTTTTTAATGGAGCCATGCCATCACCTTGAGAGACAGGCAGAGAGAAGGCAGAGAGTAGGCAGAGCAGGCCCAAGTCCTGCAGCAGAGGAAGGGATGGCAAAGGAGGCTGAGAAGGAACAGGTGGCGAGCAGAGACCAGGAACTGGACGCATGGAGGCCAACGGCACAGTGGTCCAGGAACAAGGGCAGAGGTCAGCGGTCAAGTGCTGCTGAGATATCAAGTAAGATGAGGTCTGAGGACCTCATTGTCTATTGGATTCAAAAAATTGTTGACCTCACAGCAATTCTGATAGAGTTGTGGGAGCAGAAGCCACACTAAAGGGGAGGGGTACACCAGTGGAAGGTGTTTCAGAAAGGTCACCCTGGTGATGGATGGAGGACGAGTCAGCATAGTGAGCATTCAGAGATTGTTGCAGGAATCCAGAGAAGAGAGGTTAAGGTGCAAGAGCCAGGAGCCTCACAATGATTTTAAAAAATCACGGATGTCAATGTCAACCTAGAGGAACAACAGGGAACTTGATTGGCTTTGTCCCAGAAGGCAATGAGAAAGGAACAGGAGGTGGAAGGAGCCCTCTGAGATTCCCACAGACCATTCTGAGATTCCAGCCACTCTCTGCGAACCGTCCCTGCGTGTTCCTCCTCCCCGATGCGCCTAGAAGGCCTCTGGGGCTCATTTAAGGAACAGACCCAAATAAGCAAAAGTGAGGAAGTGCTGGGTCTCAGGCCTTTGCTGTGCAGAGAAAGCAGGATTAAAAATCTGGCTTTACCACCTGTTCTTTGTGTGGCAGGTCTCTAAGCATTTCTGTGGATATAAAACAGTCTTTTCAGAAGTGCTATAGTAGGAAAATACACATGGGTTAAGATAGAGAAAACGTGGAATTTAAAAATTCTGTTTCCTCGAGTTTTCTCTTCTGGGCGTTAACCTTCCAGTTATGAACAAGGACTCTCCCCAATCCATGAAGGAAGAAAGGAACAATAGGCCGCCGGGGTCTGCCAGGTGTGCCTGGAGGCACAGGTGCTTGGAGAGCCAGGCTTGGTGGCCACTCTGCCTCTGGGCCCTGGGGACAGACCAGCCCTACCATCTCCCTGCCTACTCTCATCCCACAGCCCTGTCCCCAAGTGATACCATCAAAGGTAAACACTGAGTCTGCAAGGAGCTGGCTAAGCAAACAAGCTTGCACATCACTGCTGAAGCTATTAACGCCCACGTGCCAGGGTCTGGTGGTGTGACAGCCCAGCCCTGGTAACAGCTGGTGATGCCATGCCCCAACAATCGCCTGCCCCACAGCCAAAGTCCAGAGGGCCCATTCCGGAGCAGAGTTGCAGTGCAGTGCGGATGCAGGGACGTCCCTAGCTGGTAAGCTGCCCTGACTGTGGCTCCATAGCACTCTCCTTCCCTAAACCCCTTTACTAGAAGTTTTCTCTGGCAGGTGCTCTGCTCTGAATGCATACCCGGGAGACATCTGGGGTCAGTACATGATGCTTGGGGCTCTGGGACCCAGGAGCCTCCCAGTGTGGTCTGAAGCCTATGAGATTCCCTTGGAAACACTGGAAGTCTGTGGTGGTTCTCTTTGGATTTGAAGGACACATCATGAGCTCCCACAGACAGGCTGCACAGGGAATTGAGTGGGGAAAGATTAGCTATGTAGGAAGATTCCTGTAGTATTGCCCTGGTGGGCAGAGAAGAAAACTTCATACACTTCTTCCCCCACTGGCCCTACCACATGGGACCAGGAGACAGGGATCTCAGTTCTAGAAGATTCAGGGAAGAGCTTCTCCCATGTGCCAGGGCCCAGCAGCCTTACCAGCCTCCCAAATGAATGTTGGGGGTGGGGTCAGGCTTTATGTTGGTATCTTCTAGCATAGGGTCTGTGTTGAGTCTCCACAGCTTGAACTTGGCCACACCTGGGCTGTGATGGAAAGGCAAGAGTCTGGGTTCTGCTCTGAGTACCTGAGCGACCTTGGACAAGTTACTGGTCCTTTCTTATCTGTAAAACTTAATAAAAAATACTATTTCTGCAAGTGTTCGTGGGGATCCCACCTTCAGGGATGAGTGGGAGGAAGCACTGTATTTGCATCTAGGAATCCAAAGCCAGTGTAGACCCTTGCCATGCCTCCTCCTTTGCCTGCGTTTCCGCCTTTGTATGGTGGGGGTTGAGGAGGACTGGACTGGGTGGATTTTAGGTTCCAGATCCTCCACGACCAGTTCTGACCTAGTCCCAACTGCTTTCCTGACTCTGGGTAGGATTTTCCCCAAGAAAGGGAGGGGGAAACAGTGGAGCATCCACCCGGCTCCAGCTCAGAGAATCTGCTTAGTTCTCTAGTCCTTCTGAGATGATACCAAGGTACTATTTCATTTTTTAAAAAATGGGCCAATCATTCACCATATTAAATTAACAGGATAATAATAGGTTGTAACTCCCCAGTTTGAAATAATACTCTTCCAAGCCCAGTCCTGCTTTGATACGCCTGGGCCCTGGGCCTGAGGCTTGGTCTAGCACTCCCTTGTGGAGTTTTGAACAACTGCAAATTCTCAGTCTTTTTAGTCATCAAGGTGTGTGCTGCCATCCTTCAAAGATGTGAATTCACGGGCCTGTACCTTCCCCAAAAGGAACACCTGTGATTGTTGCTAAAATCTGAAACGGAGCACTCCCCTCCTTTAGGTCAAGTTCCATCAGTACATTTTATAGCAAAAATCAGAGAACAAAAAGCTTATCTACAAGCGGTTGAGACAGCTACTTTCCCCCTTGTTTTCACGGCTGGTACTGGATCACATAGGTAGGAGGTTCTCATTAAGCAGACATGTGTACGAGTGTCCCACAGGCCTGGGAAGAGCGCCCAAGAAATGTTGATTCCCCCACTGCCTCACAGTTAAGGACCATTCCCTGCTGTATTGATGGAGTGCAAAGATTTCTTCTATCTAGAAGGAAATTCAGTCTTATGCCAAAATGCCTCACAGAGATGAAAATTGTTTTTAAGGCCCTTCTCAATTTTGCTAAATGTGAAAGAGTTTGGAGGATGGTAACTCAGACCAGCTGTGGTAGTCTCCGAGGAGAGCAGCAGGGGATGGAGTGAGGACCTGGAATGTGGAGCCAAATCATTCCGCCCTGTCCTGTCCCACCCGCTTCCTGCCTCCCCCTCTGCTGGCCTGAGCAAGAGTGGGGCCCAGAGAATGCTCATGCAATCCAAGCAAGTTCAGTGATGCTCCTCAGAGCTCCTGGTGGCACAGAGCTGTGTAGATTCCTGACCTTGTTAGAAATAGGACAGCAGCTCTGGGCCTCTCACAGACCTTGTGGGCAGTTTAATGACAAATGTTTAGATGCTCCAGGGAATCTACATTCGGTTAGTCCCTGCAGACCTTGGCCTTGGGTGTATTTACTTCTTCTTTTTCTGTGTGTGGTGTCCTCTTCCAGGCTCTGGGGTTAGCTGATGGCCACCTGGACTGGGTGTATCACTGCCCACACACTTCTCATATGGCTCAAGGCCCTTACAGTCCTGAAGCTGAGCCTAAGCCTTTGGCACAGCTAACTCAGTGGTCATCACAAGCCACAATTTTCTGAGAGGTTGAGAAAGGAAGACAGCATCCTAAAATTAGAGATCCAGGACAAAGGGCCACCCGCTTAGTCTTCAGGGTATGCTCAAGACAGTAGAGCTATAACTGTGATTTTAAAGTAAGAGCCAAGTGCCCAGGTCAGCCAGGAGATCAAGGTCTGAGGTTGGGTAATGGGAACCAGCCCCCAAGTCCTAGGTAGATCCCAGAAGTCAAGCTCCCTGCCCTTAGGTGGCCAGAATGTAAAGACGATTTAAATATATTTGTTCATATTAAGCAAAACAATTGTTCCTTGACATTCATGAAAAACATTTACATTTCACCCTCAAGGGGGCTTAGTCACTCAGGCTTTAAGTTCCAGCTCTGGGACAGGTTTGGTGGCTCATGCCTATAATCCTGGCACTCTGGGAAGCCAAGGCAGGGATCACTCGAGGCCAGGAGTGTGAGACCAGCCTGAGTAACATAGCAAGGCCCCATCTCTACAAAAAATACAAATTAGTCAGATACGGTGGTACATGCTGGTAGTCCCAGCTACTCAGGAGGCTGGCGTAGGCAGATAGCCTGAGCTCAGGAGTTTGAAGTTGTAGGGAGCTATGACTCCCTACATTTATACGTTAGCTGGGGCAACAGAGCTAGACCTCATCTCAAAAATAAATAAACAGATAAATAAATTCCAAAATGCTCTGTGTGCTCAGTTTAGACCCAGTCCAACATTCCTGACTTGGTTTGAATCTGTCAAACTCAGTTCCATGGCTCACGTCTCTGGCTCGTGTCTCTCAGTTCAATGTGCAGGCTATAAACGTGTGGTGTGCACGTTGGCCCAACACTGGCAGCAACCCGTGGGTGTAAGGGTGAGGGGGACAAAGGAAGCCAGCAGTGCTCCAGAGACACGGTGGGAAGATGTTTCAGACTGAGAACTCACATCTGGAGATGGCTTAAGGTTTACAGAAGTTTATTCCCTACATCTTTTGTCTCTGGGCTTATAACTGAGAAAGCTCAGTCCGAGTGAAGGGAGCTGCCCGAGCTGTGGCTGATTTGGAATTCTAGCTCAGCGCCTGGGATTCCCAGTCTCCTGACACTGACAACTACCCGACTTCCCATGGAACTCCCATGAAGGCAGCAGTGTGGTCCTGGTCTGTTAGGGTCTGTGACTAGAACACGCTACCCATCACTGACTCATCTGCCTCAGGAACTCTTCTGCCTAAATGTTAATATTTATCATTTACAGCCCGCCACTGCCCCCTTTCAAAGGTGAACACAGTAAAATTTATGACAGGTGCGCTATCGGAACACAGAGGAGCATAAAAGCAGAAGGAAGCGCCCTAGCCCATCCATCTGCCGCCGTTTCTTCCAGAGGCCCAAGAGCCTGGAGCATTCTGGCATGGGGCTGCAACCGGGAACTTTCCTCCTGGGGCTGGTGCTGCTTCTGGGGCAAGGTAAGTGTGCCTTTTGCTGAGGGGACAACCAGAGGCTCAGCCCTGTTTCTATCCTGCGTCACTTAGGCAAGGAGTTTGAGAGAGGAATATGGGCTTTTGATGAGATGAAGCAACCAGATGCACAGTTCAAACATAAGAGAACTGGTCTGCTTCTTGTGGAACGGGGTGCTGAAGATGCCTACAGAGTGACCGAGGGTCAATTCCCCCAAAGGCCGTTAGGGTGAGGCAGGTCTAGGGATGGGTGAGAAGTGGACAGGCAGCAGCACTCTGGTGGGGAAAGAAGCTGTCGGTGTCCAGTCACCAAGACCTGGAATCCTGCTCTTTGTGCTGTGGGCCGCAGGCAAGTTATTCTACCTCCCTGGACCTCGATTTTTCTCATCCTTAAAATGGCAATACCTCCACTAAGCACATTGTGATCATTAGTATTTATGAGCTTTGTTTTGTTCTTTGCTAATGGAACAGAGATAGGCATATTGCCAGATGATAAATTCTAAAAGATTGCCCACATTCCTTAGTTCTACCAAACAGCCTATTGATTCTTGGTTGAAATGAGCGGGTCCCCCTGTGCTCTGCCCTCTTCCTGACACCAATGGTGGTGAGAAGATCATGCCTCTGCCATGTTCTCTCTCTCTCTGCCCCTCTCTCCCCTTCCCTGGCTCTCTCTCTCTCTGTTTAGGAAGGCAGAATCTTTTAAACTGAAAAGGGTCTTAAAGATGATCTTTCACCCTCACTGGATGAAAGGCTTGGGCCCAGAGCCAGAAGCACCTGCCCTTGAGTCCACAGCCAGAGAGAAAGCAGTATGAGACAGAGATCTGAGCCTGCCCCGGGGTGGGGTATAAGTCCCAGTCCCACTGCTCACCTAGGGCAACACGGTTACCTTGGGGGAGCTGGGCTAGGAAGAATGATAACGCCGGCTGTGCCTACCACACACCATGATTGTATTTTTGTGATTACTAATGAGGCCGAGGAGTTTTTTCATGTTGTATTGAATCCCTCTTTTGCGGAATGCCCCTTTCACAGTCTTTCCCCCATTTTTCTACAATATAGGCTTGTCTTTTTCCATTGACTTTTAGAAGTCTCCACTCACTCTCTGATAGTTAGGTGTTGGGAAGATACCTTCTCCCACTCTGAAGCTTGTCTTTCAGAAAAAGTGGGAAAAGAAGGGTGGCACCTGTGGCTCAAAGGAGTAGGGTGCCGGCCCCATATGTGGGAGGTGGCAGGTTCAAACCCAGGCTCAGCCAAAAAACTGCAAAAAAAAAAAAAAAAAAAAAGTGGGGGGTGGAAAGAAGCTTTCCACTCTTTTAATGGAGACTTTTGATGAGTAAAATTCTTAATTTTGGGAAGACTCATGAAGACCACCCAAAAGAGAACAAAGACAATTTACACAAACTTGCTGCAGCAAACCGTAACTTGCCTTTGGCTGAGATTCAAAGTCAGGAAGGGGGATGGGAGAGTTTCATGGTGAGAAACAAAGGAGGGCTGTAGGTCTGCTCTGATAGAGGCCACTGGCATGCGGGAGCAGGAGATACGCTAACCACAGGTAGGGTGTCTAAGTGATTTGTTGGGAGCGTATTTGACTTTCTCTGGTTGGTTCCCCTGGAGGTAGGGACAAAAAGTAGACAAGATGGCCATCTTGGTCAGTAGTCCTGACCATTCTGGGCTAATTGACACAGAGGTTGTGTGTAGGAGACTGTTCACCAAGCTTGTGGAAGCAGCCGCTGGCTCTTGAGGGAGGCTCTGGGAGAGGGACCATCTCCTAGCCGGCATGGAGATATTTGGCTGCCAGGAGACAAGCCCTTAAGCAGCTGCAGGCGTTAATGAGTTAAGATTGGTAACTTGTTAGCAAGCAGGTGTTATACATTGGACATTCGTGGTGCAGCAGGGTGGGAGTCGAGCCCGGAGAGAGAGCAAGTAGTGATCATTAAGCACATAGCTCTGGCATGTGGGCCCTTACACCTGTTGTATAATGCTTCCATAAAAGACCACAGCAGAGGTGGCTCAGGGCGCTCCCTGGAATATGGGAAGCCCTCCTCTTGCAGGTATTTGTACCTTCAATCCGTGGTCCTGGCTGGTTTTATTTGCCTAGTGATGGGGTCCAGCTGATTTTATTCACCTGGTGACGGGGTGCCACAGCAGGCACCGACCGTTGTGGTTCGCCTTTCTGGGCGGGCTGCAGCCATTTTGGGTCAGAGTTCTATGACCATATATGATCTGGCCATTGTCCATTTGTATATTTTGTCTAGATCTATTCTAAATTCTAAATTTTTAAATCTTTTCCTCTGTGGTTTGTGCCCTTTGTAGCTTCATATCTCTCTCCTACCTTGAGGTCATGAAAGATAATCCTATATTTCCTTCTACAAGCTTTATAGATTTGGTTTTCTTAAGTCAATTCCAATACATGTGGGATTGATCTTTGTGAAATGTGTGAGCGGAGCTCAATGTTATATTTTTTTTCATGCAGGTAGCCAGTTGTCTCAGCACTCTTTAGTGATGAGTCGATTGTTTCTCTATAGTTCTGAAGCGCCCCCTCTTGTTCATGTGTTAATGACCTGTATTTGGTTCCGTCTGTCTCAGAACTTTCTTTTGCCCCATTAGTCTATCCCTGTGCCAATAATATGTTGTCTTAATTCTGTAGCTTTAGAGCAAGTGTGATTATTTGAGAAAAGAAGTCTTCGTATTTTTTCTTCTTTAGAAATGTCTTGGCTCTGACTTTCCATATGAATTCTACTATCAGCTTGTCAATTTCCACCAAAGAAAACGTGTTGGGATTTTGATAGACATCGCTTTGAGTTCTGTAACTCAAGTTGGGGATAACAGACATCTTTACAGTGTTGCGTTTTTCAAACTATGTATTTTGGAGACTTCTCTGTTCTGATTTTGAACATGGTTTGTTAAATTTATTCCTAGATATGTGATACTTTGGTTGTATGAAAAAACTTTTTAATTTTTATTGTGAAAATGTTATTGATACATGGCAATAAAATTGATTTTTGTATTGATTTGCATCCAACTAAACTCCTAAATTTTAATAATTTATCTGTATTTTTTTGGATTTTCTATATATACAATCCTGTCAATAATGGCAACATTTTTGCTTTCTTTGGAATCTGTGTACGTTTTATTTCTTTTTCTTACCGTACTGTGCTGGCTGGTACCTGCAATATAATTTTTCTTGGAAGTGATGGTTGGAGGCATTTTTATTCCCAAATTCAAAAGAAAGATGTTTACTTTTCATTGGTAAGTATAGTGTTTGTTTACTTAAGGCTCTTTTGCAGATACTCTTTATAGGATTAAGGAAGCTCTATTTCATTCTCAGTTTGCTAAGAGGATTTTTAAAAATTATGAATGGATGTTGAAATTTAATGCTTTTTATGTACTTGTTGAGGTGATTGTGTGATTACTCCTTTCATCTGTTAATGTAATGAAGTAAATTAATTGACTTTTTATTTTGTTCATTTTTTCAGTTGCTTTTTAAATTTATCAGAGACCACATTGCATTTATTTGTCTTGTCTCTTTTAATCTAGAATTCTCAATCTCAGCGTTCTTTAGGCTTTTTATCACTTTCTTTTATGTCACTGAAATTTTTAGGCTGCTTTTTATGTGTGTAGGTATACCTCAATTTGGATTTGTCTGAATTGTGTCCTTACTGCTAGAATCAATTTAAACTCTTCTGGCAGAAATACAACATAGCTCATGTTGTGTCCTTGATGTGGCACAGGAGGGAGCACAGTGGTATTTGGTAAATTCCCTAATCTGTGATGTTAAATTAGATAATTTGGTTAAGGTGGTGCCTGCCTGATTTTTCCCTGTGGGGACTTGGTGCTATTAACTGGGGCCTCCTGGTGTTTCTCTGCATGGCCCTTCTTTCTATATGAGCAGTTTGCACTTCTTCACGTGGTGACTCAAGGCCCCAGAAGAGGGTAAATAGAAGCTACCAGGCCTTCTGACATCTAGGCCCAAGAGTCATTCCTGCTGCTTCTATGGGCCAATGCACGTTTCAGGGCTACCCTACACTTAAGGGGAAGGAAATAGACTTCATCTTTTTTCTTTTCTTTCTTTCTTTCTTTTTTCTTTTTTTGAGACAGGGTCTCACCCTGTTGCCAGGCTAGACATAGTGGTGTTATCATAGCTCAGTGAAGCCTAAACTCACGGACTCAAGCAATTCTCCTGTCTCTATTTCCCAAGTAGCTGGGACTATGGGCGCATGCCACCATGCCTGGTTAATTTTTTTTTTTATTTTTTTTTTTGTAGAGTCATAGTCTTGCTATATTGCTCAGGCTGATCTCAAATTCCTGGGCTCAAACAACCCTTCTGCCTCAGCCTCCCAAAGTACTAGGATTACAGGCGTGAGCCCCCACACTCGGCCTACATTTCACCTTTTGGTGGAAGGAGCAGCAAAAGTCATGTTACGAAAGACCATGCAGGGGTGGCCCTGTGGCTCAAAGGGGTAGGGCGCTAGCCCCATATGCTGGAGGTGGTGGGTTCAAGCCCAGCTCTGGCCCAAAACTGCAAAAAATTAAAAAAAAAAAAATAAAAAAAAAAGACCATGCAGAATGGGAAGCAATGCTATGGTTATCCTTGGAAAAATACACAGTAGACTCTGTAAGTTGAACACCCAAGGGAATGTAACAGACTTGTCAACATATGGAAGTGGGTAACCTGAGGAACTAGGCCTGCTGTACTGATACATACTATGGTACATGTCTGGTCTATGTCAATTAAGCAACTGAAGGAAGGGGTCAGTGTAGGGAGGTGGTTGACTATGGAGATTCTCCTATATCACAGTCAATATTGTATTTTTTTCCTAGTTCATTGATTTATGTAAATGTATCTTGCTTGGCGTTTTTAACGTCTACTGAATCTGTGGCTCCATAGCGTCATCCGTTTTGAAAACTTCTCAGGCAATATCCCTTGAAATGTTGCCTCTACTCTGCATTTCTATCTATCTTCTGAATGTCAACGAAATGTTTGCCTTTCTCACTTCACGTACCACGTCTCT